GCCGGGATACGCGCGGCGGCGGGAGCGCCAGGGTTAACGGCGGCACTGGGTGGCGTCGGAGGGCGCGGGGAGAGAGGGCCGCTGGTGCCTGCCCTGCCCTGGCGGCTCCGCGCGCACTCTCCCACGGCCGGCTCTCCCGGCGCGCTTTCGGGAGGCCTCATCGGAAAACTCCCCCCCAGAGCCTTGGACTCGTTTCGTAGAGAGTCCCCCGGAGTGAAGCCTCGTCCGCGGGGCGGGGGCGGCATGGACCTGGCCGTCGGGGAGCGGCTCCGGGCCGCGAGCAGCCGCCGAGGTGAGAGGGCCTCAGCCGGCTGCGAAATTTTGCCCGTCTTTAAAAATAAGTAAGATAAAAATCGCACTTTAAACACGAAAACTGCGTGATCTTAATCTGGTTTGCTTCTAAATATTCAGAAAACGCATTCTTTCTCTGAATGCTTTAAGCGTGTTTCTTACCTATCAAAAGAAGTAACTGTTATAGTGTTCTTAATTTAATCTCATTTTCTTCCAGTCAGATTTACTTCATATAACAATTTAAGGATATAATCTCGAATTTCAGTGTCAACAGGAAGAGTGCTGTTCAGGGACCTGTGAATCAGGCCTTCATAGTCGTTCACTTTCTTGTGTGCTAACACTGGTGATTTTAAATGCTTCATCTTATAACTGTGACTCCCTTTGAGTCTGGATCCTTTCTCTCAGAACCTGCTGTTGGAGGCTCTTAAAACGCTTTACAAATACTAACCCTCTCTGGCTCACCTCAATGCCTGCGGCTTCAAGTTTGCTGCTGGGTCTGAGGCAGGATTCCAAGATGACTCGAGGCAGATTATTTTGATGTGTTTGTCCCTCATCCTGTATGTAAGCAATAGGAATAATGCTGGCGCACATGTTGTACTGTGAGGCAAAAATAACTGTAGTGATGTGTTTTGAGAAAGTACACCTGCAAGAGAGAAAGTAGACACTTGGATCAGCTCCAGAGTAAGGGGAGGAGGTGTAAACAAGCAAGATCACGGCGGAACTGAAAACTCACCAAACTGGCAAACTTCTTTAACTCCCAAGTACTCTTTGAATGTGTAAAGTACACAGCTACATAAAAAGGTGCATCAGGTGTAAAAGAGTGATAAAGCTGTTAACTGACTTTGTTTTACAGAAGATATACTGCAAGGAGAGGGGACAGGAGCTTTCTGTCAGCCTGGCTAGCTTGTCTCCTACAGCAAGTAGATGACTTAACCTGTCAGAATGTGCTTGATAAACCTTGTTCCCCTGCCACTTTCACATTGTTAGCATCATCACTACTCAGCCTTTTAAAAAGATCACATTGTGTCAGAAGCATTTAAACAACATTTAGCAGAAGCAGTTAAACAACATTTGTTTAACATTTTTTTCCTTAAACATTCGTAATTTGTTTCTGTAAAGGAGAAACAAGGTCCCATATAGTTCTTTTGAAATAATGCAATTGTGTTTGTCAGTCCACGTTGAAGCATAAATTACCTGTTACGTTCTTTATTCCTTTTTTGTTTCAGATGTTCAGGCTTTGAAGAGTGCTTATGAGTTGATCAAATCAGCCAGTCAAGGAAAATCTCCACTTGACTCATTAGATAACTTCAGCACTGATTTATATGTTCTATGTGCTGAACAAGCATTTGAGGTTTGTAATTTAGGCATTTCATCTGTATTGAATAAAAACATATGATATATTGTATTTACATGTGTTGAAGTTACTACTTAGGTACTTCTGGGAGTACTTTTATGAAAAATAATAAGTTCTTGTGGTTTTGGAGAACAATTGTTTAAACATGCATTTCCAGTTAAAATACATCCTCTAAATTGTCACTTCTTTATAATCAGTCAGCAAACTGTGGTTTGTGAAGCTTGTAATTAGACCAAAATATGGAAGGTATACCATAGTAATATAAAACAGTTTGCCATGCCTGTTTTTTCTTGTGCTAAACTAATGTTAGCAGTTTGGTTATGACTGAAGAAAATGTGTTTGTGAACAGCCCCTGCTGGGCAAAAGAGAAAAGGTGACATTGTGAAATTATTGCTAATCGAGCTGACTTCAATAAAGTGTGGTAAAGGTTCTTAATTTTGAAGTACTTTTACATTTTCAGTTCATGGGTACAAGTGATTGGATTTCAAGCCGACAGTTTCTAATAAAACTTTTTCTTCCCCCCAAAGCTGTAAGCTACTCAAATTCTGTCTGTTGTCTGAAAATGGAGGTGCAGCACTGATATCCATACAAAATCCTGCAGGCTAATATCTGTCCTTTAAAAAAAATGCTAAGAATTTTGCCTTTATGTTACTAATTCTGTTAATGGCTATTAAAAAAGGAAGCATTTTTTCCATACTGTGAGGGGTTCTATGACTGACTCAGGAGCTTCCTTAAATAAAGGAACTATTTTTCTATACATTTGGAATGACAAAAGTCTAGCTTTAAATTTTAATGAAACTTACTGGGTTAGTACCAGATCTGATGTGCAGCTTTATGGAATACTGTTTGGATACATGTATGCAGCTAGATGCCACGTTTTGAATAGGCATGTGTTCTTTAAAACTAACAATTCCTAATTGAGTATTTGTTGCATTTTTAAAATATCAAAATGCTTTCTTTTTGGTCTTAGCTTGGATACGTGGAAATAAGCAGAGACTGCCTACAGATGTATTTTGAAGGAAGATTTCCTGTGAACCAGTTTCTTGGAAGAGCATATTTGTGCCAAGGCCAGTTGCACACTCCACTCTCTACAGATAATTTGGTGAGAAATTATGAAAGTTGCATTATATTGTCAGTTTTTAAAAGTATTTCTTCCTAGATTTTTATGTATTGCTTTCAGTCATTTCAAATACACAAGGGTAATCAGAACTGTAGGAGAAACCAAAGGAAAATACATTAACAGGTAGCTGGGATTAAACAGATTTTACCATCTGAATTAGACCAATATACCAAATACTTCAGAGAGGAAAAAAAAAGAATACTTGCAAAGTTTTTCAGTCTATTGTTTTAAAGTCAATCTGTTCACTTTTTACATCAATATGATACTTTCAGGCCAAATTTAGCTGCAACTAGTAAAGGAACTGCCAGTTTTATTCAGGATCATGCTAAGCATTTCACATGGAAAATGGAGGACTGTAGGCACCCTCTAAATGTCTTACCTGATATTAGAAAAATCAAACTGTGACAGCACTGGTTTCAGATAAACTGCTTCTCAACAAATGTCTGTTAACATCTGTAAATCTAGCTCTCCAGATTACATTTCCCACTTGTTTTTGTGGTACTGATTACATTCTCCAGCCTAACAACCTGCACTGCATCTCACACTACCAAACATTGTTTTCCTTATGACTCCTTGACCAGTCACGCAGGTCATGAGACTTTCTCCTTATGGCACCATCTCTAAATTCAATCCACTTTTTCCTGTATAACCTAAGCAATTCTCTCTACTCCTGTGGATTCCTTACTAACAGCATGCAAATCTAGCTTCTTAGTTCTAATGGGTCTCCATCCTTCCTGGTCCTGTGTTTTAGCCAGCCTCTGTTCCTGAATGTTTCACAATTGTTTTCAAAGTTGTATGTCCAAAACCATGTGTCTGATCATCTTCTGAGATTCACATGACTCCTACTCTGTTTTTCCCATAGTCCTGTTTATCAGTCAATGCCAAAACTGTCTCCTCTGACCTGGGGAGCCGTCTTCATTCCACTTTGGCACAAATACTCTGTCCATGTCTGAAATTATTATTTCTAATCTTGTTTTTTTCCTCTGGCCACTACTACTATGTTGCCATATCTCATGTAACTATAACCTCTATTTTATTTTAGCCATACCTCTATAACATCCACAGTACCTATTGCAGTGCATTGTGGCAGGTGCATCCACCCCATGAGAGCAGAGCTTCTTGGCTGCTGAGGTGTAGCAGCTTTGGGCTACCTTTGTTCTCAGGGCCTCGTGGCAATTTGGCCAAAAGCCCTATGAGAGCCGCTATTGACCCCAGGTCAGATTGGGCCTGGGTATAAATGGAGTCCTCTGGGGGGGCTATTTGGAGCTTGTCCCCTGGAGCAGCACGCTGGTGTCGAGGACTCTCCCCTTGGGTCGAGACGCTGCCCAAGGAAACTCCTCAAGGGCCCTTGGGTCGGGAAGCTGCCCAGAGCAGGTGCTCAAGGTTGAGAGCCCTCACTTGTCAGGTGAGTGAGAGAGTGTTTTGTGTTGTCATTACACCCTAGGTAGCAGGGCTTTGTAAGGCATTTGGGGATGTCCTTAAACCCCAGGGAGCTGGGCTTTGTCTGCATTTTGGGTTGCTGTTAAAACCTCTAGAGCTCTTTTGTTCTGCGTTCTGGGTTGCCGTTAAACCCTAGAAAGATGTTCTGTTCTCCTCTCACAGACGTTTGAACCTGTAATTTACAGAGAGCTAGTTACCTGTGTTAATAATAATTTGTTAATATTTTTGGTGGGTGGCTGTTTAATTGAGAGCATCTGTAACATGCATGTAGAAGTTTCCTGTCTTCACAACCAAGAGGCTCCATAATTCTGTACAAACTACTCCTCATTTGTTGTTAATTCTTGTCATTGAGAGCAAGTGTTAGCATTTTTAACATATATGCTTTTTTATACTTACCTATTATCTTCTTTAGTGCTATTCTGGATCTGTACAATGCTTCTCTAAATTTGAGTTGGCTGTGAAATCTGTAAACACTTTTTATCTTCTTTACCTCTAAATACAACCATCACACCTTTAATCTGAGTAAGAGCAGACAGTTGAGTGCAAACAGTAAGAACGTGGTTACAATTCCCCTTCATTTTAAAAACTAATACCTTGACAAAGACTGTAAAAAGAATATTGCCAGAGCTTTGTCATCCAGAGAACAGCAACAATTTGAAGCTTCTAACAGTAAAATAGGATGTTTTTTTCCCCATGTTATCTTACCATGTTACAACTTTAATAAACAAAAAGTACAGAAAATGCTACAGTTTCTAAAGAAATTTACATAAATGTAAAACTCAGTCCCTTAAAGTTATCTCAAAACTGTTTCCCATGAAAAAAAATGTATATGACAATAGTTTTTGCACAGGGGGGGAAAAAAAAAAAGAAGACCATGTTAGAGCTTTTGACTGTGAAGGTGTTCAGGTGGCTGTCACAGCGCAGCAGGTGGGTAGGCTGTGTGGACTCCTGAACTCAACCTGGGGAGAAAATCCTGCCTTCTCTTTCTAGCACCTGTGACTAGGCAAAAGGAAGCAGGGCCTGATGTTGTGACCTTTCAGTGTATTCCTACATGTTCTCTCATTCTGAGGATTCCTGTTTTGTTCCTACTGTGCTGTTCTTCTCCCTTTTCCCATAAAAAAGCCCAGGTTATTTGTCTGCTCTGTGGCTGAAATGTGAGCCCTGCCCTAAAGCTCTCTATGAATGCCTGCCTTACCACCTTTGGAGCCTGACGTGAGAGGATCCACACAGCCGTAAGTGACCTGCCCCTGCCCCCGATCTGGCCGTTGGCCTGTTGGGTGGCTGCGTCTTCATTTCTGTAACAGGGACACGCTCTCCTTGACCGCCTTTACAGACTGGTGTGCTCAGCTCATATATAGATGCAAACCAAGTTTTCCTTGGTGAAACAGTCTAAAAGGCTCACCAGTACTTCATTGTGAGTGACCTGCATTGAGGATGATATAGCCAGTTATCAGATGGCGAATCTCATTTTAACTTGCTATTTTCTGAAGTTTTCCATGCATTTTTACATTGTGTTTTTCTTTGCCATTACTGAAGTTTTGATGCTTTATTCTGTACTACAGAGCTATACTGTACGTATCCTCACCTTCTCAGGAGATAATTCTGTTGCTTTTAATTAAATACTAACACTTCTGCCAGTACTTCATGATTTAATACATCCAATACCATTAACATGTGATTAACCTAGGTCAACATATCCTTGAAAGAGAAAATCCGAGTCTTAAATGCAAAAATGCAAAGATTTTCAAATCACACCTCACTGTTTTAACAGATTAATGAGCACAAAATATGCATACAAATAATAATTGACTAGCTTACCCTTTCTGTCTAACAGTATTTCCAAACATTTAAAAGAGGCATATACATCTCTTCACTTTTCTCCTCTGGATCCCACAGGATTAATGGTAAAGAACATGAATCATGAAAGGCTGTCTGAATTAAGTTCACAGTTTGGGTTTAAGATTGAGCACTGCAAAAGTTCAAGCCCACTGAGGCCAAAATTATACAATAAAAGACAATCACCTCATGAAATTTTGTGAGATGAAGACCATAGATATCTTGCAGTAAATTCTCACATGTGCAGCTCATTGTGTTATTTGTAGTGTCTCTCCTCTCTGTTGGATGATACCATTTTAAAATGAAATTCCTTCTCTATGTCTTGCAACTAAGTGTCTCTAGCAAAGGGGGGGCAAGGCCTGGATGGCAGAGTCATGGCTCTTGTGACCTTTGTGACAAATGGTAAATGGTATTTCAACACCATGAGGTTCACACAGCACCAACTGGCTTGCACCATTACAGGCAGGATGGTGGAGTTAAGCAGGTGCCCAAAGGGAGCCCCTGGCTGCTCCTAGGTAGTACCCGTTGAGCCCTGCCCCTTGCTGGAGACCACATCCCTGCCTTGTGGTGCCTAGCGTGGCAGCAGTACCCCTGGGCAAGGAAAATTCACCGTGCAGCAGGTCTCCTTTGGAGTAGTGGCACAGGACTCCTGCCCTCCCCACACTGCTCGCTCCCTTCCAGCACCCCACTGCCTCGGCTTCCTTCAGTCCTGCCCTGCAGCCTGCCGCTTGCTGTCCACCTGCAGCAGCTTACCGGCACTTCAGCCCTCACCTGGCCAACCCCCATCGCTTCCTAACTGCTCCTCGCCTTCTGCAAGGGATGGATCTTGTGGAAAGGTCCAAAGAGCTGGCTCATGCTTTTGTAAGATGCAAAACAAAGCACATGACAGGGTCCTTTGGACTCACAGCTGTCCTGTGAGAACAGTGAGAAGGGTAAAGGGGAAAAAGAACAGGGCCAAAGAAGCTGGCCACTTAGTGTTAAGGGAAAGCTTTAGAGAAATTACACTTGCTGAAGGGCTCACATTTAACCTATGCAATTATAAAGGATCTTTTAACAGAAAGATCTTATTGAGTAATTCTTACATATTTGATGAAAAAAAAATATCAGCAGTTACCTAAAGCAGGTATGCATAGCTACCTATTATGACTTGTTTGTCTCAAATGTCAAACACACCTGAAGCAGCCTGCCCTTCCTCCCCCCACCACACCAGAAGTGAGGGCTGCAGATGGTGGGACCCCCACCAACACACCCCCACAAGAAGGCTGGTGACAGAGGAGTTAGAGCTCATGCTTTCTCCCATATGACTCTCATTGCTGCTTCAGTGCTTAGATTACCTTCACAGAGCAGAAGCAGAACACATCAGAGAGCCAGGGCTGTGAAGAAATGGGGGGCTGGATTATCCTTTACACCCACCAGCAGGAAGGGGTCCAAGCAGCCCATGTGAGCGTGCCAGGGCCAGAGCGGCAGCAGGGCCATGCTGCCTGTGCCTGTCCCTCCACCCCAGTGGGGAGCTCCAGTTTTTGTCTCCTCTTGAGCATGAGAATCGTGAAGAAATCAGCTTTGCAAGGTACCAGGGTTTCAGAGTATGTTTCTTACTGCTTCCATGTTACCTCTCCCTGATCCCCATCTGCTGCAGGAATGGTTCTTAACTTCCAACGCAGCAAGGTACTGCTCTGGGCTAGGTCTGACCACAGAGATCTCAGGTAGCCTGTCATTCCTTTTCAGGGCAATACAGTTTTTCATACTGTAACATAACAAAATAAAAAGAGAAAAAAAAGTTGGCAGAAACAAAACGTCTTTATTCTGTGTGAAGAAACTGTAAAATTTTTTAAGTAAAACTGGACACTGATTCATGCCGTATCACATTTCTGTTGCTAAGGCCTGTACAGTACATAGCTAGCGTGGCTTCGCTATACCACTATGGAGCAACATTTGTTTCAACTGGTGCTGTATTAATGTCTGTAACTAATACAGACTTTAATCTGTAATATTAATGTAATGATGAAATAATGGTTGTCCATACTAAAGCATTTAAATATAGCTAGCCATTGCCTTATAAAATGCATTCTATTAAGTATATATTTATATAGGACTCAAAATCTGACACACCAGCTCTAAGAAGCATTTCACACAATGTTGACCAAATGCTGTTTAAAACAGAAGTCTGTCTTTATTACATTCATGGCCTTGTTTGGTTTTGCATGTAAGTGACATTCCAATAAAGCTAAGTATATTGCTGCATGTCATTGTGTGAATATATGAGATGGAATTCAGCCATGGAAAGCTGGCAATTTCTATTCTTTTTCACTGTTTACAGGAAGTGTATTAATGTTACACTCCTTGCTTTTGATATCAAAGGTGTCATAACAAGTTAATGACTTATGCCAGGATCAGTAGATCAATTAAAAGTAGTGAGGACATGAACGCAGACACAGGAATTTAAGGACTGAAGGGACAGAGACCCCACTGCTCCTCAAACAACAGCAGTGCGGTGCCACTGGCCACTCCAAGTTGCCTGCTGGTGGGCTAGGACGTTGCTCATGCTTTGTGGAGAGGCACACCCTGGCTCAGAGTGAGAGAGGTAAAAATGCACAAATGGAAATAGAGAGAGTCAATGAGCTCCAGTGTCGTGTGGCCCAGCACACATAATACCTGTATTCCCTAACCACTGATTTCTGAATATTGGAATTGTTAAGCAACAGAAAAAATAGTTGTCACCTGAAGATACATGCTCTCAAGAACATGACAGAGCTTGGCTCTCAGCTTCACAACTCTTAAGCTGAGCTACTGCCCTTCCTCCAGCATCCCTGCACAGCTGTACTTTCCTATACCCTGCTAACTCTAAAGTTGAGTTCAGTTGGAAGGGACCTACGACAATCATCTAGTCCAAATTAATTTTCTTCAAGAGTTGCCACGAGCACAGATTTTCTTGACAAAGAGGGAATGCAGAGAGAAGATACAAACAGCTCTTGATAGGGTTTGTTTTAATGAAATGGTGCTTGAGAGTCCAAGCTGATGGAGATTTTAGTGGCCCAGATGAGGGCCAGAAATAAATGCAGAAGCCTCTGGCTTTCTCTGCTTTTTTTACCCAAACCAACCAAAAAAAGCACTCAGACCTGTTCCTCCCTGAACCTCCATTGGTTGAAACTGAGTCAGCTCTGTGCTATTGAAGCCATGTGCCACTCCATGATTTTGTCCAGCTGACCAAGGAGCTGTTATCAGCATAGAAGTCTCCTGCCCTTCCTGTGTTACCTGCCAGCACTGCAACACAGGCTTCCTCTGATGTTATTTTCAGGACCAAGCAGGCTATGGATTGGGAAGAGGAGCACAGTGGAAGAAGGGACACACCTTAGGGCTGGGTGTTTGACTGTAACTGCAAGAAACTTACACGTGCTCAGGAGCCTGGAATCTCAAACCCTTGTGTCCACAGGTGCATAACGTCCACACTGACAACATTTTTTGTATTAATTGATGAAAACCAGGAAATACGCTGTAGCACTGCATTAATGATCATACCTCCCACCCTACATGGGACAGGTTTTGTTTTCTGAAGCTGCCAACTGAGCAGAGGACTGGCAATTTCTGTGTTCATCTCCAGTTCTCCTCTTAGAAACGGTGCTACGTACTGCCATGGTGGCCATCTCGCTGCCTCTTTTGTCCTGGGTTAGCATTGCTCTCTCTGAAGTCGGGTTCATGTTGGACTCTGCAGTTGTTATGGCACTGCAGCTGAACATTTCAATCAGACACTTCCTGAACTAGAAAGTTAAAAAAAAAAAAAAAAAAAAAAAAAAAATAAGGAATTTTTTAAAAAAGCAATCTGTGTCTTAGTTAAAACTCTTGAAAATTCTCTGAGTCAGTTAGAAATATAAAGAAATAGCCCCATAAAATATATTTGCCTGTGCCACCATGAAGAACTCTAAAATTGAGAACTAATGATGTTCTAAAAAGATTCAGACTAATGGAAAACCTTACTCTAAAAATGGTTTTCCTTTCCTGCTTGTTACTAAAACCATCTAATGGACAGAGATGGTGATTTCTCCAGGCTCATGAGTTGCTTTCATATTCTAATACCCAAGTGTTCAAAGACGGTTTGTTTCCATGTTATTCATCTCCATGGGCAGGGTAAGACCAGCATACATCGGAGACCAGGGCACTGTCCATAGGATGTGAGACAAGCAGTAGCTCTTTCTGCAGGACTGAGTAAATAAATGTATTCACTTCTTGTTTAACAGTCACTTCACTATTTTTCTTCTTTTCACTTATATGCTCATACTCTGTTTAATGCCACCACTCTTAGTGGCTACATTCACTCCGTAAATCAATTTGAGTTTATTATTGTGCCTGTTACTGCAGTGAACACATCAGTCTGGTTCATCCCCTTGTCAGTTCTTCTCTGCATCCAATCCTCTGCTCCCATTCCAGAGAAGAAATCTCCCTGCAATGCTTCTACCCTGCCTGTACACACAACCACAAATGCAGCATTTCCTCTGACACAAAATCAAGCTATTGAAGATTTCCACCCCATCTCAAAATCAACTCACTGGTGTTGCATTCCTAAAGAATTACAAGAATGTACTGGGACAGCCTTGAAAACAGAATTTACATACAGAAAACTAACTGACGTTCACTAAGGGCTGATGGTCCTTTAAAATATCTAAACCTAATAATTATTAACATTCATATTTTAATGATGCACAGAGGCTTATTCTATCTTCCAGTAGGTAGATATACAGTGATTTTTTTATTTTTTTTTTTTAGTTCTAAATGCTGGATATTGCAATGCTAGTTAACTAACATGTAGGTAGGTAGAAATAGTTCATTATAAAGCAAGACGAAATAACAAAATATGACTGTTAAAGACACTTTGAGAGCATACAGTACCTGTTTGTTCATAAAGACGTAAATAATTGGATTATAAACAGTAGCTGTTTTGGAAAAGAAAGCTGGAATTGCTGCCAGACAAGGATCCAGCTCAATGGAGGGGTATGCAGTGACTAGGATAGAAAAGGCTGCATATGGCATCCAGCAGATTAGAAAGGCAATGATCATAACGACCACCATTCTAGTCACTTGTCTTTCAGGTTTCCTGGTAGTTCCCAGCCTGCCTTGCGTATCTGACACCTTTAAAGAAAAGATAGAAGATTCTAGAAAACAAATAACAAGGCCTCTAACGAGTGACCTTAGTGATCTGCGATGCTGGAAGGAAAGACATACTCTTCTTGAGTATGACAGCACACAAAGATGCTGTTACTGGACCACGGGGTGTGAATGTTACTGCTGAGGCACATGAATCCCTGTATACTGTCATGATTAAATTTTCCTGTGCTTGAGTATCTTTTGTTATTAAAGTGAGAGCAAAAAGCAATTACTGGGGCAATCTCTGTGTAGAAATCTAATTGCAGTCAGGCACACTTGCAGCCTGTAGACACTCCCGAGCTGCTCCTCATGACTAGGCTGAAGCTAAAGTGATGGCATGGGTTTGCTCTCCGGCCTCACAAAAGTTAATCTAGCTCAGGTAACTTCATGAGTGCTGCAGCACGCCCCACAGCAGTGCAGAAATGCCTTTAAATCCCATCTGTGAGGAAAGTAATCCTAATGATTTCAGCCAAATTAGAGACAAGATTTGGCCTCTATTTAGAATGCTAAATAACAGAATACAGTGACCCTGACAGAATGAACAACTGGCAGTATCCAATCCAACAGTAAGTTACCTCTAAAAACATGAAACAAAAATTAGGGCTACTAATGGTATATCTGTATAGCTCTAGAAGAACCTGGTGCCAGGTCTTGTAATAATACATGCTAATAAAAAAAGAATGTTTGGTATAACATGGCCTTTTATCTTTCCACAATAAATAACATTAGAACTGAATGGAAACATTTTCCCCAACAACCCTGGCACCGCACTCAGATAAAAGTTCTGGATATTCAGAATAACAGAATCAGGTTTTATTTTAGGAGAGTCTGAGTCATCAGCAATTATTTTCTTCATGCCCCTGCCTTCAGGCCAGCAGACACGGTGCTGCCCTGCCAGGAGTGCTGCAGCAACGTCAGCCCGGGGAACTTCTCCTGTTCAGTACTGACATCAACCCCTCCCCACCATTCAGCCTTCTCTCCCTGCGTGCCTCCTGGAGGACATCAAGAAAATTCCATTTAGAGGAATCATAGTGCCACCTGAAGTATGCATGTTCCCATCGGTGCTTTCTAATGAGAAAACAAAGTACTTCTTGTATTTCCCTTCTGGTTTGCTTTACTTGGAGAAAGCAACACTCAAATACAAGCATTTGACTATCCCAAATACTTCAAAAACAGTAAAATGGAAGAAATTTACTAAATATGTTACTGAAGCAATAAGACAAGGCATCTTTGCAGTAAATATTGTCCCAAAATACTGTTCCCAAATCCTGCCCAAATAGGAATCTTCCTATTCTACTGTTGTCTTTCTAACTTTTTGCAGATTCTCTTTTGTATTGGGTCAACATAATCCTTAAATAAAATTCAAAAGCATTTCTCAAGTATTTTAAATATTCCTGGACAATCTAATGTTTTTACTAAACAGCATTACATTATTTACAAATGCTTCATCTTATTCTGCATGTGTTACAGCGTATTAGCCAGCACTCCTAAAATTTACAAATGCAGTCATTTTAGAACTAAGTTCTGATTTACCTGGTTTGAATCTTAGGAAACATCACTGAATTGAAGTACAATTGTAAATAAACCAATACTGGATCATTCAGTTTGTTTATTATTTATGAGGCAGACAATCTTTCACTTGGATGATGTTTGTCTAATGGGATGTACTGATAAATAATGCAAAGAGCACACTTTAACAAATAATTTCTGTGCGTAAGGATAATTATTTAAGACGAGATGATAACTGAGTGCATTTACCGCCTCATAATTTGAACTGATTATGTCTGATCTTTATTAGAAAATCAAATAGAAAAATTCCAAATGTTTGCATACATACACATTTAAAGAATTTACTTGTAAGCGCTGCTTCTTACCTTTCTTAGCTTCCGCATCAGTTTTCCATAGGATACCAAAATCACTGATAAAGGCACTATAAAACAGGTGGTGAAGAATGCAATAATGTACGTATGGTCAGTAAAAGCTCCCGAGTACCTGTATAAAACACAAAATACATTGTGTATGTATTACTAACGTGTGTTGTTATTATTTTCTTGAAAGATTAATTTTGCTCTTCAAAGCTGTCACTAGCATTCTTGTCAACTGCTTTCATTCCAAGTACCCTTTTACAGCTCTGGTCCTATCACCAGATGGAGCCCTGGGCTGGGACAGGATCCCATGAGGGTAAGCACAGCATCAAAGGGTGGAAGGGACATGTGGTCCAACCTCCTGCTCAGAGGGGAGTCAGCTATGGGGTTGGACCAGGTTGCTCAGAGCTTTCTCCAGTCTTCTGAAAAATCTTTGTCCTCTTTGAATCCTGACAAAAAGCACAAGGTATAGGATAGTTACTTTCATTAGAGATGGCAGCATGTCCCTTTAGAATTATTATTTTTTTTTAAATCTGTTCTTGGCAGACTTTTCTCAGTTTTGTTGCAACTCTCTTTACACCCATTTTGCAGAGATGTACATCATCTTTAAACCTTTCAATTCCTGCCCCTGAGATGTCTTGAGTTGCAAGTGCCATTTCTTTACCATACTCTGCAAGACTGGCCTTACCAGTTAGGCTCACAAGTAGTTCCAATCTTACTGGTGGTGTAACTGCTCCAACCCATTGTTGGTGGAATGGTCCAAATGAAGGAATAGGTCCACACAAAGGCAATACCTAGGGCGGCATGCTTCCCCCTCAAGCGCATGTTTCCCACGGGGCGGCAGATCACAATGTACCGCTCAAAAGCCAACAGAGCAAGAGACCAGAGAGCAACAATGCCTATAGAAAGAAAACAGTCAGGATCAAAAATCGGGAAAAAAAAAAAATTGAAAAATTGATCCACTGAAAAGCAAACACCATCCCACATCACAGAATCGTTTAGGTTGAAAGGCATCTTTGGAGGAGGTCACCTAGTTCAACACTCCCAGAGTGAAGCATGGCCCATGCAGCAGGTAGTGCAGGACCAAGGCCAGCTGGCTTTTGAGTATCGCCACAGATGGCAACTCCACAGCCACTCTGGGCAACCTGTTCCAGTGTTTGAGCACCACGACATCAGGCACCATTTCCCTCAACCCAAGTTCTGAAAGGATGTGCAATTTATGTGCATTATTCTAATATTTATTAAGAGCACAAGATTTTATTATTTGTTTAGTTTGTCAGTCTACTGTATATTGACTACAAAACCAAGCAGCTAATCGGGCCATTTAACTGATGATGACTTCTTTTTTTCATTTGGTTCTGCTCTGAAACAATGCAAACTATGCGTAGCTTCCAAATTTACAAATTAAGATATATCTTCAAAATGCTGTCTTTGCAAGAAATGTCGTAATTCAGACTGTCATAAAACTCTAACCTACAGACAACTGCTCACAACATCAAATTACCAGTTTATTAGGCACATATCACCTGGTTGGCCACCAAAATCTGAAAATAGCCTCATCTTTCTTCATGGCACATGGCTCGCATGTCACTAACTATTTTAGTAGCAGTGTCCCTCACTGTCATTCCCTCTGTGTGGCTTAGCCAGGCTGAGAGCAACTGTGGGACTCCTTTTGATGCTGAGGATCAGTAATGTGTTTGACAGAGCAGTGACAGTCAGAAGGCTGTCTTCACTATGCAACTTCAGAAACAGGAAAAGGGAGGTAGGAATGAATGTCTATCTCAAGTAAATAGAGTGCCATTTTAAACTAATTTCCCATTTATTCTGCAAAGGTGTATTTACACAGGGAACTAATGTGGTGAGGATATTCCCTTTTAGAATACTTCTAATACTTTTTGTGTAGCTAGTGAAACAAAGCCAAGAAAAAGAATCACAAAAAGATGTAGATGTGTGGAGTGACTGTTAGAGGTGTCATGATTCCTCAGAGTCACTGGAGGGGAGCTAACATAAGATTTTTCTGTGCCCTGGTATTTTCCACAGTTTAAGAGCAGCCACTCTTCTTCTCTCTCTCTTATTTATCCATATATGCACACACCTAAATCCAAACCAAAATTCACATAATGATTTTATTCCTGACATTGTTTTACCACCACCCCCACCTGTTATTCTAGTAGCAAGCTTTTCCTCATTAAAAACATATTCAATGCTCAGTACACATGTGAGAAACCACTGATATATGACAGAGATAGTGATATATGTTATTCACTCGCACATGAGATCCACTACAGAATACATGTAACTGGGGAACCAGTTAGTTCAAAGGCATGCAAAGTCAGTGACATGGGAAGCTGCAGGATAGCTAGTAGAATACACTGAAGGAATTTGAAGAAAAGAACACAGAACTACAAACAAAATCAAGCTTACCAAAAAATGTGACAGCAAATCCTTCCAGTACACAAGCCCAGTATCCCATATAAAAATAACCTTTCAGATTTGTTAAAAAGCTGATGGTGCCACCAGTCAGTGAGACCAGGAAATCAGCCACAGACAAATTGACTATAACATAATTGACAGGTTGTCTCAATTGCTTGAACTTAAAAGTTACCAGGATTACAGCCAGGTTCTCAGCAAGCGACAGGGAGGTCACCACCAACATTACAGCTGCCAGGAGCCTGAAGTGCCAGGGCTGGATGGAGTCCAAGGGACGACGGAAGGGATCCCATCTGGCAGGACCAGAGGAACTGGACAACAGCGACTCATTTTCAGGTGCTCTGAATGAATCCATTTTTTAATTCTCACTCTGCTTTCTAGTAGTAGTCCAGGAAACAAAATTTTGGTCAGAGGAAAGTTTAGTGCAGCGAATGTGGGAACAGGGATGAGCGAGAAAATCTCTTAAAGCAACTTCTGCCCCTCTCTGCCAGTAGTCTCCTGCCTCTGTGCCTTTATCTGTAATAAAGCCCAGCTATAAAAGCTGCCGGTTTTCTCCTTCTGCAGCAGCCAACAGCAGTGCTAAAATACCCCTCAGAGCATCCCTACTCTGCAGGGAAAAACGAAGCGTCGGCTTGGAACCCTCCCTGACCCTTAGCACTGTAACAATGAAGCTTCCTTCTGTTAATAGTGAGGGTGGAGTGATGCTCCTCCTGCCCTGCGCTTCGGGGAGCACAGCAAGGGGAAAGCTCCCACCTGACTTGTCTTCCTGAAAGAGGGCAGCTCTGAGAAGATGAACAGGCAATGAGACTGCACTACAAACCCCTGCCCACATCTCCAGCTGGCTTACATCCTCAGAACTGAAGCTCCAAATTAGGTAAGTTTTCTGTGTTATTTGGTGGAATTTCATCTTCTATCAGAGACAGCACAGTTTTTATCTCTGATGAAGGCATAATAATTGTAACTACAGCTTTAGTACTAAAAACTCAAAGATGCACAACAGTATTTTAAAGATAGAATTTGTAAATACATTAAAAGAAATAAAATCAGTACAGCATGACAACAGACAGCAGGAAAATTAATAGGTAGTCATATATTTCTAATAAAAATGACTGGATGTATTTGCACGCTTTGATAAATATTAGCAGTTAAGAGTTATTTATGTTCGTTTCCTGAGATGAGTAGCTCGGTCATCTCTGCACCCTAATGAGACACAATACTGCCACAGATATTCTAGTACTCCTGTACTAAAGGGTGGCCTGTAATTATTCCACAAATTAAGCTAGATACCCCAAGAATATGGAAATCATTCAGCTGTATTATGAGATAATACTTTGGGAACATAACTGTTAATCCAGACCCTCAGAGTATTAAGCACAAAAGCAATCCAGTTCCCATACTGGAGAGTTCACACTTGGACACACACCATATACAACATGTGAAAAAGCAAACAGAAGCTGGGTTGAGAGTGAAAATGAGCAACACTGCCTGCCCATACAGTCCCTTGAGTTTATACTGGCTTTGGTTTGTACATGAAACACTTTCTTAACACAGGTTAAAATCTTTTGGTATGCACTAATGGAATCAAAAGGATTTCTGACACTGGCATAAAGAGTTCCACATCAGAAAATTTCAGAATATTTTGAACTAAAAAAATCCCAACTTCTTCCTACTTACCATAACCAAAACAGCAAGGATCTTTTCAAATGCTTAGTATATACTCAACTGAAAAGGAAAGACACAGACCTTAAGCTGATCAAATCTAGTATCAAAACCACTCACAAAATAATACTTATTCAGCAGGAATATTTTAAAATTCCAAGTGTCATTAATGAAAGAAGGATCAAGACACAGCAACATTAAAATGCCTCCAGCTAGTCCCTGCATGGCATGAGTCAGCACAGTTCCACTGCCTGCATACTACAGCAGAAGATCTGGACCACAACTTTAAAATCAAGTTTGAATCCCTTGCACTGCAGGCCTTTTTTTGTCCAAATAATACAGACTTTTTTTTTATTTTAAATTTCGTTATAAGGCTTTTTTCTGAAATCAGTCTCAGATAAATTTACAAAGACAAAGCATTGCCTTATGAGCACAGGGAGAACAGCAGAATCTCAGGTCTGCCACCACTTAAGTGACAACTGCTCTCCAGCATCACAAGACCCTTATGAGGGTCTTGTTTTCTATTAGCGCCAAATTCCTTTTCCTGGACTCCCATGTACTAAGTTGATAAACTTGGAGTACATGCAAACCGAGGAGTCCCTCTTTGTCATATCTCACACATCTGACCTACTTCGGTTGTTTCTTGGCCAGAATTGAAGCATGACTTCCCTCCTAAGGTGTTCCTGACTAATGCTTCATATGAAGAGGTAAGTTGGTAAACTGTAATAAAACAGCCTCAGGCTGTTAAACTGCTTCTCGTTGGAGCAGGAACATACACGGTCAGTGAGGTGAAGAGGATGTGTAACTAACAGCACCTGTGTGATATGCCTACAGTAATTCCAGCTGTAAGACAAAATCAGAATGACAAGAACTATGCTAACCGAGATCAAATATGGTGCCTGAAATTGTATGTGGCAGTTAGTGAATCAGCCCTGAATTTACCATTCCCGTAATACACAAACAGGGAAATTAGCTATAAATTGAGTGTGATATTTCAAGTGATGCACTTGAATTGCTTCTCTCAACTTTTGAGCATGTGATAGTCCCACAATGCTGCCATCTAATAACAACAGTGCCTTTCACTCCTGAAAGTGATGGTGAAAGATTTGCTTTGACCCCAAGAATGATTTGATTTAGTCACATTTAATTAGAGCAAACAGCATTTTCTGCTGTAATGTTTTGTGGGAATGTGAATGAAGGATCCCACTTTTGGTACAGCCAGACTGGCTGCTGTGTCATACGTGAGCATCCATCGCAGTGACTGACCTGGCCACCCTGTAAATTAACGTCTATTTTGAAAAAGATCAAAAACCAACCAGGGATTCAGGCATTTATCATTTCTGTGAGCACCCGCACAGACTGCTCCCATCACACATGAATACTTCATCCCTTCGGAGCATCTCACCTCTGGGCCAGTAACTGGGCTGAAGCTGGTATTTCTCCTTTGCCAGATACTGCTATGGACTGGGTTAAACCACTCCGAAATTAGGGGTTCTGGCTGAGTCTTCCTATAGGGAAGTTGTTGCAGGTGCCTGTGCAAACCAAAACAGCAGCACAAGAAATCTGCCCTCAGAGAAGCTTCCTCTGCGAGGCCCACGAGCTGCACTGGTCTGGGGTGGCAGACACAGAAGAGGCAGTGAGAGCTGGTGGAAGCTGTGGGGGAAGAACCAGGTAACCATGGGCAGGCACAAAACCTTGGGAGAGGGTGGACAGTGAGGGCTCCTTGGGCTGGGCGGCTGGGAGAGGAGTCAGGCGCACAGAAGGGAGAAAGGGTCAATAAGAAGCTGGAGGCAAAATCATCAATTTTAAAGCAGAATAAAATTTCAAACATGTCATCTTATCAACTCTGAGTTGTGTTTCTTTTTTAAAAATAAGATATTAAAAAAAACAGCAGCAAGTAAGGTCTATGAACGACTTTGGAATTAAGTGTATTGACACTAATCTGTCAATGCCCTTTACCTGGCAATGCCATTCCAATCAAGTATCTCTAAAAGGAATATAAGAGCACATTTCACTACAGTATTTTAAAAAATGTTGTAAGGCCACATTTTTTACTGCCTTCAGTAGGGGAGAAGCCAAAGAGAATGCATGAGCATTTAGTTTAAATTAGAAATTAAGGAGGAATTATGGTGGTTTATGCATAGAGACTGTTACAGACTACATGACAAATCCAGAAACTAACACCTTCAAACCACATAAACAAATATGCTTTTGCTGAGTCCAGTTAATCACAGCAACAGAGAAGGACTGAGGATGGCAGGGACCTCTGCAGAGCTCCAGCCCAGCCCCTTGCCCAAAGCAGGGGCAGCCACAGCAGGCTGTCCAGGATGGTGCCCAGGCAGGTTCTGAATGTCTCCATGGATGGAGACTCCACCACCTCGCAGGGCATCCCATTCGTGTGCTTGACAACTCTTACCATAAAGATTTTTCTTATTCTTTTTTTTAATCTAAAAATAAAAAATTGGATACTGCTTCACATTAATAAAGAGTTATAAAACCAGTTTATTATGGGGCTACATTTAACCTTTCTATGCCTGGGGAGGTTCAAGGAAAGCACCTGCAAAACCTAATGACAGACTTTGCTTGGGAACTCTGTTACAGGACTGCAGTGATTAATCTCATTTACCTACTCTCAGTATAGGCCTACATTCTTTTAGAACCTGGCGAAACCTGAGTGTAGGAAATGGGTTTTCTATTCAATGAAACTTTCAGAAATTTAGACAAATAGTCACCTCCTGATGACTAAAGTGAAACCATTTGGAGCATTACATCAGACATGGGAGCAGAGGAGTGAGTTGCTACTCCTGTGAAGTACCATATTATAAAGGTATTTTAAAGTACTTTCATATAACCCATCCAGAAGCTTCTATGGGAGGATACTCTGTCTAAAAAACAGCCTGAACACCCAAGAGCCAATGCAAAAAATCATCAGTAAAGTGGGTTTTTACAGTTGATCAGGCCATGTCACTGAAGCATTCCTTTCTAGGTGGTCAGTTTGCGAGTGAGCCTGTACAGAGAGTACTCCACATGCTGACACATGGTTTTTTTAAGCTGATTTTGTCCATCCTTTTTTTTTTTTTTTTTTTTTTTAGCTGTAGTTTTATTTTCTCACAGTTACTGAAAGCCAGCAATTACACATTTGAAGTTTATTCTCAGAAAACACCAAACTATCATAATGGAAAAATTTTGTTCTTGCCCTTTTCAGTGACTTGGAGGAATTATTTTGCTCTCTTGCTAATAAAAGAATGGAAGTGGAGATTTCCTTTTGCAGGAATTGAAAGCTGTGTGCAAAAGAGGCGTTCTACACTGGGAAAGATAGCAGTATCATTGCAGGAATTCCAGTAACCAGCAATATATAACAAAGCTAGTAGCTAAACAAAACATGTGCTATTAACTATAAATAAGAAACTAATTCAACTTAGAAAATACCAACCACCACATACTGAGCATCAGAAAAGGAAATAATTTGTTAGCAGGCTGTATTTACTTGACATGTTAATGATATCTTGCAGTTTGGGGCCTCATCTGAGCAGGTAACACTGTTTAATTTATGATAGCACAGTGCTTTGCAAAGCACAGTTAAACCCAATTCCTTGGGCACTGTACAAAAGCAGTTAAATAAAAGGCAATGATTTCATACTTTTACTGATTCTGACTGACTGAAATTATTTTGCTGTTGCTATGAAAGCTTTTCCA